GGAAAATAATTCGTAAGTTGATGACTACCGGATGATGACTTTTATTTTGTAAAAAGATGTTTGTTTATTTATTTATTTGCAGATAACCATATTAGTCTTTTTTGTTATTTGTGTATGTATTCATCGAATTTCTAATTATTGTTGCTTTTATTATTATAAGTATGTGTCTAGGTAGATATTTTATTCATTCATACTTGGCAAGTCATGGCAAAAAATCTCATTCGAATTTGAACATGTTATCAGGGTGAATTTGCATTTGTGTGTTGGTCAAATAAAGTACATTAAACTGATTTTGACATTATGTAAATCTTGCGAGTGGGTTAAAAGAACAATTGAATGAGCCGCATTGCGCCCCCTGTAAGTGGAACTTTAGCGACGACATGAAGCGGGAATTTGCTGGTTAATTGTATCAAAATAAAAGCTAAAATCGAATCGATAGCAGATCACTTTATTTACATAAAACAACGATGTCTATGTAATTATTGTAAAACAACCAACTATAATGCCATAATGGTACACTTTATTTTATTTTGCGTTGCTGTCGCATATTATTTTACAAGCAGAAGTGTGGCATTTCTCTGTGCTTGACTCAGCAAACAGCATGATATGGATGTCTCTGGTTTCAGTGTAACTACATCTTATTGATGTGCTTAGCAGAGCTATACATAAACACAGAGCTAAAGAGTATTACATATCTGCTTATGTCTGGTGTTTTAGTTCTGCTGTTGACTTGTGTTTATTGCAATATGACTTGTATGACAGTGCATAGATAGATATGCAGTGTATCCGGAAAGTATTCATAGTGCTTCACTTTTTCCACTTTTTATGTTACAGCCTTATACCAAAATGGGTTTAATTTATTTCCTCAACATTTTAATACCCCATAATGACAATGTGAATAAATATGATTTGAAATTGTAGCTGTAGATTGTACATCAGTATTCACAGCCTTTGCCATGAAGCTCTAAATTGAGCTGAGGTACAATCCATTTCCACTGATCATTCTTGAGATGTTTCAGCAGCTTCATTGGAGTTCATCTGAGGTAAATTCAGTTGATTGGACATGATTTGAAAAGGCATACACCTGTCTATATAAGATCCCAGGGTTGACAGTGCAGGTCAGAGCACAAATCAAGCATGAAGACAAAGGAATTGTCTGTAGACCCCTGAGACAGGATTGTCTTGAGGCATAAGTGTAAAGTTACAGAAAAATTTCTGCTGCTCCGAAAGTTCCAATGAGCTCAGTGGCCTGTAAGTGGAAGATGTCTTGAACCGCCAGGACTCTTCCATGCTTGGCCGGACTTCTGTCAATTTGTCCTACCTTGTCAGATTGTCCTACCTCCCATTCAAAAGGTAGGTAGCACATTTTGATGAACAATATGCTACCCATCAGATTTTGCTACCAGCGTAGATTTGAATGTGGAGTAGTATGATCTGAAGCAGTAATATCGCCACAATTTCAACAAATCTTTTTTCACATTGTCATTGTGGTGTATTGCGTGTAGAATTTTGGGGAAATAAATGAATTTAATCCCTTTTGGAATAAGGCTGTAACATAAAAAATGTGGAAAACTGTAGATAGATAGATAGATAGATAGATAGATAGATAGATAGATAGATAGATAGATAGATATCAATTTGATGGATAGACTGAGAAATTGTTTTCATTTAAATATCCTTTATTATCATTTAAAAAAACAATATCTATTTACTCCATTCATAACTTTTTTTCTTATTCGATCAAAGATAAAATACAAAACATAGCAAGGTATCAACAGAAAAAAGAAACCGTCTATATTACAAAGCGTTGGGATCGCAATACTATATTTGTTACCTGACCAAATACCTTAAACAAGAACAAATACAACACTAAAACAAGCTTCTGTTACAAACCACCCATCATTTTTTCCATCCTATACAGCACATGCCATTCATAACGGTCAAGTACAAAACAGTAACACGTTTAAAGAAATCAAAACCATATTGTTAATAACCATATTATACCCAGCGATTAGCTAAAACCCACTAGTCCTTGCATCAGAATGAACATGAGTTATGCTATTAAAATAAAAGCAGATGCATAATTCAGCTGTTAAAGACTGAATTACACATAAATCACAAAAATAACACAATGCACTCATCTGTCTTGAGAATAATTGGATGCTTGATATCACAATGCGTACACATTTCCGCACTAAAAATACCTATTAACAGTCCACAATAGCATCCTGACATCCTCCGAAAGCTTTAGGTCATCGGGGGAAATGTTATAAAACTGTATATTAATATTTCAAAAATATATAGTCCAATATTCAAGCAGAGCGTTACTTTTTAAAGCCGACTAAAAATTTGAACAGGTTTACAAAAATAACGATCACATATTTTATTAGGTGTATTAATGACTGATTGTAAATTGAAAAATAAAATGATTTACAGTAATCATGAAATATAGTGAATAGATCAACTTTAAACACTCTTAAAGGAGCAGTAAGCCATATTTACATTAAAATGTAATAATAAATGTAAGAGAACAGAGTGGAAAAGAACCGAATTATACAGGGAGCAGATATGTGCATTAGCATCGATATCGCAATGTGATCATTCGCAATAGTCACATCGCAATTATAAGTTGTTACCTCAAAAGTGCCACAGCCAAATCACCCTGCAGCTCAAAACTGGTTACTCACTGAAGCTAAGCAGGGCTAAGCGTTGTTAGTACCTGAATGGGAGACCACATCAGCTTTGGGAAGTGATGTGTGGGTTCTAATGCCCCAGTATTGTGAAGCGGACACTATAATGTCAGTGAGCGCCGTCTTTCGGATGAGACGTTAAATTGAGGTCCTGACTCTCTGTGGTTTCTAAGTTGTGTGGTGAGCGCACTGTCGCCGTTGTCCTGTGGTTGCCATTGCATCATTCAAGTGGATAAATAGTTTAGACAATTCTTCTTCTTCTTCGGCCTCAGTCCCGTTCAGTTGCGGGTTCGGCTCTTTGAAACCAATCCTCCATTTAGACTTGTTCATATGATAACGACTTTTTTTTTACACATTCCGGCCGGCCTGTCGTCTGGGCCTGTCACCCTTATACACTCATTCACTACAGACAATTTAGCCTACCTAATTCACCTGTAGCATGTCTTTGGACTGTGGGGGAAACCGGAGAAAATAGTTTATAGACAATTGAATTGTTTATAAAACGAAGACTATGCAGTATTATTTACCATTTGATTTTTCAATGACCGTATTCCTGAATACAGTTCGACTCCACTGGAAAACAATAAAACACAGTTTATTCAATTTGTATCTTTTACTTTATTAAATTTATCCATGCTTGTAGATTGTTTCTTATATTTTATGCAGATACACTCCCCAACAGAATCATCCAAATCAACCTAAATGTATAAATTCTTTCCAAATAGTTATTAGACACATAGTGAAATCTATTCATATCACGATATATATGGCAGTATAAAAAATATCGCAATGTCAGATTTTTCCAATATCTTGCAGCCCTAATCTGCATTGACGTGATTTTTTTTACATTCGTCACCAAACAGCCGAAACGATTGTGTGTTTCCTGATGAATAATAAAATAAAAACAAAAATTTGTGTATGAATAAATTGCACTGTAAAAATGCTGGGGTCCACACAACCAATTTGTGTAGGTACAACATGAAGGGGTTGAGTTAACTTGCTAGTTTTTACAAATTTAAGTGGATTGAACATAAAAAATTAGGTTGTCCCTAAAAAAACCTTAAGAAATGTGTTTCAGCTCATTTTAAACAAGTAGTTTGAACAAACAGCAAATGTTATTTTTTCTGCATCACAATTTAACAGATTAACACACGAAGTATAAAAATATGATTAATCTTGCTTTTACATTTTATTTCACATTGTAAATTAGCTTTACATAATATCAAATAAAATGTCAAAATGGGAATATTCACTTGCTGTATTAGCTAATTTAACAGATCAACACACATAGAAAAAAACACACTTGGTAATGCAGAACCTCAATGTTGAAAGAACAGATTAATGACATAAATGTCATATTAAAATACCCCGAATCCGCAAAACAAATTCTGCTTTTATATTTTAGTGGTGAAGAACAGAAAATGCTGTTTATTGCTCTTTACGAATTAAATGTTTAAACTCGGACAGCTTTGCAAACACTCACTGAAACCACGGACTAAAAGATGTTTAAACTGGACTGCGGGATTTCAAATGACAACAACTACATGACAAGACCTCAGACACTGCATGGCTGTGTCCAAAATCGCATACTTCCCTACAATATAGTAAAACAGTACACTAGCAGAGTAATACATCCTAATTTTAAAAACAGCATGAGAAAAGTACAAGGATGACCTATTACTTCTGGCAAAAGTATCGAGTTTGGTACCAAACAGTACTGAAATTTTAAAACCATCAATTTTCTGCCAACATATGAGTGCTGTTGAGCAAGTACTTAAACACTGCTGATTGGCCATTGTGTTCACATGCTCAACAGAAATGACTGTGATTGGCTGTGAAGGTCATCGTTTCACCACTCTTCACCCAGTGAAACACAGATACCATCGTTTCTAGATCAGTCGATTCTTCTTCTTTAAAATTGACAACCCAGGCAGGTATGACAAATGGCAGATCTAGTACGTCCGAGTCCATTCATACTATAGCAGATAGATCATTTCAATGTGGTGATGTCATTGGCCCATTAACACTTCCTACTTGTTATTTAACTATTTCATAATCGCAACAAGAGGCAAGTCAATCAAAACGTAGCATAGTAACAGCGATCATAACATTATTTATCAATATGTGGACCTTTATAATTTCTCAGAAGCTATGTAAATTAAAAATGTAAAACAGGAAATACAACAGAACCATTGTTAATGTTTACATCCCTCAAAATGGTCTATATGGCATACTTTTCATGTAGAACAGTCGTGTAGAAAATTTATATGTACTACCAAGTGGAGTAGTAAGCGATTTCGGACGGGGTACTGACTGTTTAGCACAAACTGTATTTATATACAAATGACAGACTTCTAAATTCAGCATTCTATACCAAAAAACATAATGTTATTACATGATGTTGACATTTCAAGTTATTTAAAAAATATATACAGTCTGCGGATCAAAACATGTTTCGACATCTCATTTTATTGTAATGGAAATTTCTTGCATTGAAACTGATAGGTCATCTAATCGGCTCCTACATCATTAACTACACGTTGCCGTTGCCTTGGCAGCCAATAAGCTCACTCCACAGTTTTTTAAATGCTCAGTGTCATTCTATGCTGTAGTGTTGCAGTGTGTTTCTCAGAGACCCTCCTCCGCCCCAGCTCCACCTGTGTTTAGAACTGCTACAGGGGATACATACTGTATACTTGAAGTCAAAATGATTAGCCTTTTTCTTTTTCAAACATTTCCCAATGATATTTAACAGAGCAAGGGAATTTTCACAGTATTTCCTATAATATTTTTTCTTCAGAAGAAAGTCTTTTTTGTTTTATTTTGGTTGGAATAAAAGCAGTTTTTAATTTTTAAAAAACATTTTATTATTATTATTGTATTAATATTATTAGCCCCCTTAAGCAATGTGTTTTTTTGATTCTCTACAGAATGAAATGACTTATACAATGACTTGCCTAATTACCATAACTTGTCTAATTAACCTAGTTAAGACCTTAAATGTCACTTTAAGCTGTATAGAAGTGTCTTGAAAAATATCTATTAAAATATTATGTACTGTCATCACGGCATAGATAAAATAAATCAGTTATTAGAAATTAGTTATTAAAACTATTATATTTAGAAAAAAAAGTCCTTCCCTTTGAACAGAAATTTTAGGGAAAAACACACAGGAGGAGGGCTAATAATTCTGACTTCAAGTGTATATTATATGTTTGCAGCAGCAGTGTGTTCAGGGGCGGACTAGGACAGCATTTTTAGGACAGCATTTCTAGAAAAAAATAATTGAAAGTCAGGTCAGACTCAAGGTGGCAGGCCAGATAGACCGTCAGGCCACCGGGAAATGTCCCGGTGCTCCCTATGGCCAGTCCGCCCCCGAGTGTGTTATATTCTCAGATGATATGTCTGTGAATATACTGGCAGTAGCAGGTCTCGGTACTTATTCTACCATAATAACAAACAGCAGCAGCGTAGCAGATCTATTCCACCAAGACCAAACACATCAACATTGCCACATTCATTACCAATTATTGAATCTCAGAGAGCTGTCATGACAAAAAAATGTTTTATATTCTTTCAGCTAAACAAATAACTGTAGCAGAAGCATGTTCATCATATAACTGCAAAGTTCATTGACAATGGTGTTCTTATATTGAATGTTGGGTAAAGGCATTTTTATAAGTAATATATTACAATCTTGAGTCACTCTTCTTTTTAATTATATGTGTTAGTAAAAGCAATGGTTTTTAAGTCGGACAAAACATTATAGAAATAGCTTTGCCCAATCGTCAATGGTCGCTCATAATAAATTGCAATATTTTAGGATATATCAAGTACTTGATTTTTGTTTTAACCTGATGTTTGTTTGTTGGTTTTTTCTGTGGGAAACTGTGTGTTTATAATAATGTGAGTTGATTTGATTAATGTAATTGTTTGTATCAAATGCCAACTAATAAAGTCAACTGCACTTCACCCAAAAAATGAAAATTTACACACTATACTTGCACTCAAGTGGAACCAAACATTCATCAGTTTATTTTATTTTATTCTATTGAATACAAAAGAAGATATTTTGAAGAATGCTCAAAACAGTAACTATCAACTTCCATAGAATTTGTTTATCCTTTTTTTTCTTCAAAATATCTTCTTCTGTGTTCAACAAAAAAAAGAAACTCATTAAGGTTTGAAACAAGAATAAGTAAATGACAGAATTTTTATTTCTGGGTGAACTAGAAAGTGTAGACGCGTAATGTGAAAGTATGCGTCATGTTATTTATGTTTTTGTCTGACACTTATACAGACTTAAGATTGTAATAGATTACTTTTAAAATGTAACTTTCTCTATTCCTCCATATATTACTGAGATTTACTGCTACACAAAGATTCACACACATAAAAATCAGAAAGTTGAAAGTTTCAAAAAGTCAGACATCCCACCCTGAAGTTATACTAAGAGACCTGAATTAAACCGCACTGGCATACAAGTCTGCGGTCAAACACATACATAAAATATCAATAATAAAAAAAAAAGCCTGTGAAGCTCTGAAAGCTCTAGAGTCATTTCTCCTCAATGTCCTATTAAAAAGAAGACAATAGATAAAGCGAATGTTTGACTTCTGAAGTTAAAGCTGATGTTCTTCACGTGAGCTTATTTTCAGTAATATGAAGGACTGTACGGATGACTCCATGGCTTCCGATTACAGAACTGTCAAAGAAAAAGATCAGACAAAAATAATTAAAGGATGCGCTTTTACTACATTCATTTATTCATTCATTTTCCTTTGGCTTAGTCCTTTATTTATCAGGGATCGTCACAGCGGAATGAACCGCATATCCTAGCATATGTTTTACACAGCGGATGCCCTTCCAGCTGCAACCCAGTACTGGGAAACACTCATACACCATGGCCAATTTTGTTTACCCAATTCACCTATACTGCATGTCATTGGACTGTAGGGGGGAACATGCAAACTCCATACAGAAATGCCAACTGGCCCAGTCGGGACTAGAACCAGCAACTTTCTTGCTGTGAGGCAACAGTGCTAACCACTGAGCCATGGTGCCACCCACATTTTTACTACCTTACCAAAATATAACTAAATCATTCATTTTCTTTTCGGCTTAGTCCCTTTATTAATCTGGGGTCGCCACAGCGGAATGAACCGCCATAAATAAATCAAATACAAAATAATAGTTTGATTTAATATGTATAATTTTTTATAGAATAATTATTTTTCACGATAACATTTGAGGGACTCACCCCTTGTTGCCAGCTTTCGTTGAAAGCCTGTGCCTTGCTCATCCTGAAGTTGCCATTTTTAAATCCTCGATTATTTCCTCCTCGACCCCTGAACTTCTGTGGAAACAGCAGGTTTATGATTCAATGTTCACACTTTTTCAAGTTTACCCACATTTCAAAACCAAACTAACAAATATACCCAGCAGGCACGGGACTAGAGCTGCACAATTAATGGAAAAAAGATTCGAACCCCTATACGATTTTAATCCAGCATTTCTTCGATTCTGCCATTCAAGTTTGTGAGAGAAGCAAAGGCGGCTGCACGAGTCTTTTCATTGTTTTCATTGTTGGACACCTCCACATGATGTTAAAGGAGTCACATACTGTATTTATAAGGTACAATTTACCTAAAAATGTCATTTTTGTCTTCATATAATGCTGTATCTGCGGCCGCGAAATCACACTTGACGTGAGCTGCTGACCGTGAGCTGTTACCACAGAGAGGGCGGGCGTGCGCCCTACTTAATGATAGAATGTGCGCGCGGCTACTTTAGTGAACAGAACCTGCATAGGCTGTGAATAACAGGTAATAAAGTTGTAAATAATATTCAGTTTGTTGCACAGAGTGATCGTTTGAGAGCCTCGCGCGAAGTATGAACAGCACTTAGCAGTGAAAATGAAACCGAAAGCGTGCACATCATTTAAATGATCATATCGCATTTTAGAGTTATGATTACGACAAGCATTTGATGTTTTTTCTTTCATAGAGAACACACAGTTGTGCATGAAAATAAATGTTTACAGTGTCAGTTAAAGTACTCTAGCCTATATAATGTTGATTTTACCAGTGAATTAAATGGTCTAATAATGTTCTCAATGACAGATTGCAAGCATAGGCCTATATCTCAAACATAATTCAACATCAGAATTATTATAAGTAGACTAGAATTATTTATAGAAACCAGTAGACCTACACATAATAACTTTATTGTTGTTCTACCATATGTTTTAGAAAAAACAATAATAATTGCAGACTCATATTAACCTTTATTTTACATCTACAGAATCGTGCAGCTCTACACCGGACGTCACACAGGCGTAAAATTGACGCTAGCATACAATATCAGACTAACTTTGAATTTTGGTTGTATATGAAAATCCGGTTGACGTTAATTAATGTAATTGTAATGCAATAATGGTCACCTTTTGTAAAGCTGCTTTGAAACAAAAATTATTGTAAAAAGCTCTATATAAATAAACTGGAATTGAATCAATAATAACAAAAATAAAGATTAAAAAAAAAAAAAAAGTTTTACAAGAACAAAACATTGACAATAAATGCAAATCCTGCCATGGCAACTAAATACATTTTTTCAGATATAAAACTTTTTTTAACGCAATAATTTAAACGTAAAAAAAAAAAATAAATCTTTGAAAAACTTTACTTAGAGTGTGTCTTGACAACCACATGTAACTGAAATAAAACAAAAGTATCTAAATTAAAGATTACAATAAAAAAAGGTTTACAATAACAGAACATTTAAAATAAAAATACTTAATTTATACTACACAAAGTATTACTAAAATCATGACAATAAAAGTTAATATAACATTTTCATGTCAAAGGTTTGTGGTCAGAATTAGTTTTTCATGTTTTTTTAATTATTATTCTGTTCATCAAGCCGACATTTATTAAAGGTAAATAAATTGTTAAATATTTATCAAAAAAAAAATAATAACTGCTTTCTTATTGTATGTAGTTAGAAAAGAAATTATTGCTCCAGTCATTATTTCTTTTATTACTATTACCAATAATAATAATAATAATAATTAATATTAGAGTGATTTCATGATTATAAGGATCATGTGACTGAAGTTTGGAGTAATGAAGCTGAAATTTCATCAAAAATTACTGGAATAAATGATAAAATTGAATCAAATTATTTTTGAGCAGTTCTTTTATAGTGCAATAACATTTCCTTATAAATTTTACAAAGTGTACTGTATTTTTGGTGAGCAGGAGAAACTCATTTTAAAACATTTGAAAATCCTACCGACCCCAAACTTTTAACCGGTAGTGTATATTGCAATAAGCTGCTACTTCTGAATGCATATCTGATTGGTGTGAGATAAGAATGCTTTTTTAATATTCAACCAATAGTGCTGCTTCACCTGGTTAAAGTTGCCCCCTCCACCGTGCCCCATGTGTTCCCTGTGCATGGCTCCTCCTCTGTTCCCCATGTTTCCCCGTCCTGGTCCCGGTCTGGGAGCACCGCCTCTATTGGGCATCACCATGCCCCGGCTGAAACTGCCCCGACTGAAGACTTCTCTGAAGGCATGCGGAGGAAGGAAGTCTATCGGTGGTCTTCTGAACCCACCACGAGGAATAGGCACTGCCGAACAAAAAGAAAACATCACATGATTACACTCTGAAGTGTGTCACATTCTCATTCAGGCTGCTTGAAGCAGTTCGACTTTGTCCATTTACTTCGAGCTATCAATATATCATCAATATTTTAAAGTACAAAGATTGATCACATCCAAAATAAAAGTTTGTTTTGACTTAATATATGTGTGTGTATAATATACATTTAGAAATAAAACTATATATAAAGTGGTTTGTAATATATGTCACAGAGGGAAGCTGGCAAGTGCTATGCAGGTAAACCTCACTTCTCTAACCTCTAATGGTGCTCTAGCGACAGACACTAGTGCTCCTGATGGTCCTTGATAGAGTCACTGACTCCATGCAAAGAATCGCCGATTCAATCCCACTTCAGACCGAGTTAGGTGCAGTAGGATTGGTGGGTTACACACGGGGGCTCGTCCGGGATGGCAGTGAGGTATAGGAGGTGAGTTTAACAGAGGCCAGCTTGTGATGTGCTATGCAGGTAAACCTCACTCCTCTGACCTCTAAACGTCTCTAGAGACAGATGCTAGAGGCCATGGCCTCCTTGTTTAAGCAACTGACTCTCATGCAAAGAATTACCGGTTCGATCTAAGCTCAGACCAGGTTGGGTGTAATAGGACCGGTGGGTTACACAAAGATACTTAAACTTATAAATAATTTCTATCATAATATACACTTTTTTTGAATTCTAATTATAAACATTCTCAAATATGTGCATGTTTGTGTGTATTTACATATACACATAAAAAATAAGCACTACACACATTTAAATTGTTTGCATAATCACGATTCATCGCTGCCCAGCACTTAAATTTTATAACACTTCTTTACGTATTATTTATATATTTTATAAAACTATTTGGATGGATGGTAAAAAAGCTGTTACAGTCCACTAGATGGTAGTATTGATTTTTTTGATGCATGAGGTCATCTTGCAGAAAGTTAGTAAAATAAAGATGGTGACATTGCGAAAAAGTGCATACTAATGCTATAATGCTGTTGAATCTGTCTCTTCCTAATGCAATGGTAAGGGAATTTCCTGTGTTCCTTCTTTGTGGGCGTTTCTTTTGCACAAGAGTTTCACAGGATTTCACAGAACTGTGCAAAAAGTAGAATGTTTCATTTAAAAGGGCTCATAAATGTTGTAGTTTGAACTACTCATAAGGCCCATGCACACCAGGGGTCTGTTCTTCATACCTTAAATGATATAAGATGATTTAACTGATCTCTGGCTAATTTGGTACTTCAAACAAGTTTGTGAATCAGATAAAAATGTCTGATTGAACTGATCTGAGATCGCTGTGTGTTGTGAAGTACAGATGTATGGATCCTTAAAATCATGATCAGCAATGCAACGATTGGCTGATGGCAGAGCAGCGTAATGACATCATCTGATTAATACTAAACTGTCCATGTGAGCAAAATCACATAAATATAGTAAATGGTTTGTTAAATATGATAAACTATAACTTTCCACATTTGTTGTGGGCTGCAGGCTTTACAGTTTCATGTGTCGAGAATATCTATGTTTAGTTTGACATTTTTTAGCAGATTTTCATCACTATAGTAGCCTATTCAAGATTCTTAATAACCAGGGGCCTCATGTATCAATGCTGCGTACGCACAAAAACTTTGCGTACGCCAGGTTTCATGCCCGCGTTTGGATTTCCCAACAATGAAATGAACGTGAGAATGTGCGTTCTTCCACACCAACTTCATGCCTGGCGTACGTTCATTTCTTGTGTGTGTTTGATTTAATTCCATTGGCAACTACTCGAGGCAGTTGTGTTAAATTGCACACTACATCTTTGAGCCGTGTAATGGCAGCTGTGTAATGGAACAGGTTCATCCGCATGTCTAGCAGGTATATAAGATTTCCATACCATGCAGTTGACCAGCCAAACATTAAAGTGCAATTTGCAGCGTTTGCCGGTTTTCCCAATGTAATCGGAGCGATAGACTGCACACACATTGGTATAAAAGTGCCACCTGAAGACGAATTTGTATACGTGAATCAGAAACATTTCCATTCAATAAATGTGCAAATAATATATGATGCACACACTTATTAACGATTCCTACTTGTCTTCCTCGTGATGAAGAGTAGGCAAAATCTGATATGTAGCGGGGAAAAAAAAAAAGAACGTCTTCATCAGACGCTGGATTCGAACCGAGTTCATGCTTGAATGTGTCAAAACATGTTGCCATGCGTTTTACGAGCAACGCCACTCGCGCTGTTAAAATACAACAACATTTTACACCTACACATTGCACTATTTTTTTTTATCTACTCAGTGCGATGTTCAGACCCAACTGTGTTAACCACGTCAGCTAAACTCTCCCACTCTATTTTTTTTTCTTTTGTTATTAATTCTGGAGAACAAACTTTCAAATAACACCATTTTCTTCGGTCTACCTGTCTATTCTGTTCAAAGTTTCTCTTCTAGCTTGCTTTTGACATTGCTTTTTTGGTTGGTTTTGCCAACGTATAGTAATTAGCATATTCATACGGGGGAGGGATTTTGCGCTTATGCACGTTTGTCAGTTTCACGTTCATTCGGACGTACAAAGGGAATGTGTGTGTGATTCGGCGTACGCAGTGTTTCATACATCTGAATTGTTTACTGCGTACGCACATTTACAGCTTTGTACGTACGCAATGTTTTAGTATGATTTCAACGCAAGTCTTCGTACATGAGGCCCCTGCTGTTTAGCTTAATTTTAATCACCGGCAAACTAGCGGTCAAAACATGACTGCACAAATGATTAATCCTTTAAAAAAAAAACAAAAAAAAACTGTGGAATATTTTTGTCAGCAATGCCCGTGCAGCCACTCATCCATTGATGTAGAAAAGTAATGTAAAATTATAATTTTAGTAATTAAAAAAAATATTTGCATAATGACCAGCGGGAAACCTCTTGATCATAGATGTATGTGTATATCTCTGGTTTTGGATGGCCACAGTCCTCCACTGCACCTTGGTCCCGCATTCATTTCAAAGGAGCGCTACCCTGTACTAAAATAGCGGCTCTATTGCATTTACATTTACATTTAGTCATTTAGCAGACGCTTTTATCCAAAGCGACTTACAAATGAGGACAAGGAAGCAATTTACACAACTAAGAGCAACAATGAATAAGTGCTGTAGGCAAGTTTCAGGTCTGTAAAGTCTAAGAAGGGAAGTATTAGTAGTATTGGATATTTTTTTTCTTTTTTTTTTTGGGTACAGTTAGTGTGATATTCAGAGAGGCAATTGCAGATTAGAAAGTGTGGTGGAGACTAACTAGTTGAGTTTTTAGTCGTTTCTTGAAAGTAGAGAGTGACTCTGCTGTTCTGATGCAGTTAGGGAGTTCATTCCACCAACTGGGCAGATTGAGCGTGAGCGTTCGCGAAAGTGATTTCTTCCCTCTTTGGGATGGAACCACGAGGCGACGTTCATTCACAGAACGCAAGTTTCTGGAGGGCACATATTGACGCATTCCTTCTAATAGACAACTGCAGGGTAGGCGACATCTAATGTATGCATCTATGGTGGCGCTGAACTGAAGTGAATGAATTGACGTACCACCCATGAAGTTTCCTCTGTGCGGAAAGCCTCCTCGTCCTCCTCCTCTCTGAGCTAGTCCTCCTTCTCCACCACGGTTGAACATGTTTTTTCCTCCTCGTCCCTTTGAGCTTCTTCTCTTGGACTGAACCCCTGCCTGGATGGGTTTCGGCTCTAGAGAACAGATTTTGCTGTCCTCTTTATACTGTTCAAGAAGTTTGGCTACTTCCTCCTTCTGCAGCTCCACATACAGCACTTCACTGAAGCAATCACCTTCCACTGGCAACGAGTATATTCCTGAAGGAGCAGAAGATTTAACATTTATTTTTATTTAATAAAAAAGACAGAAGCACAACAGCATTTGCTTTGAATAAAAAAATAACAATAATGTAAAATATATTTAAAAATTAAATGGAAATAATAAAAAAGGAAAGAATAGAATAATAAAAATATAAAACACAAATAATAATAATAATATAATATAATTATTATTTGCTTTTTTATTTAAAAATACAACAGATGTATTGCCGGCAGCTAGTTATCTGCAACTCTCACATGGTCTCCCACTGAAGCTAAGCAGGGCTGCGCCGGGACCACAAGGAAAGCTGACGAAAATATGATCATTTTAAGATTTTAAGCTTGCTGAAAAAAAAAAAAAAATCCTGTTTCTGTTTATTTTTCTGAAATTCATTTGTTGAGTGGTGTGATGAAAACTTTTTAAAAATACAAAAAACAAAAGAAAACAAAAAACAAAGGAAACAATCTTTGATCCAAATTGTGTTGTTGAGCATTTACCAGTGTTTGTACATAATCAAGAAATCACTCAGGTACAGTCCTACAAGTATTCGGAAATTTACATAGACAGGTCTCTAACATGGGACATTCACGTAAACCGAATCTGTAAAAAGCTTCATCAAAGACTGTATTTCCTACGAAGGTTATGGTACTTTGGTGTTGATAAGTAAATCATGTACTTTTTTTTATCAAGCTGCATTTGAGTGTCATTAAGAACTCTTATCCCAGTCTTAATCAGACTATTGAACACTGATCGATAGTGTGCTTATGCTTTTTCCCTGTATGTAATTCTTTTGTATATTTGCTTATTTTTATTGTGTCAGAACTTGCTGAAGTGCTCTGAATCCACAGAAAATTTCCCCTTAAGGGACAATAAAGTATACGAACAAAGCTATGTTGCTGCCAGAAGTGGTGTTAGTAAGAGCAGCAGCAGGTGCTCAAACTGCGATCTGTGTCAGCCCTAACACCCCAGTATATTGATGGAGACTCTATAATGCACAGTGAGCACTGCCTTTTAGATGAGACATTAAACCGAGGTCCAGACCTTAACGTGGAGTTTAAAAATCCCAGAATGTCTTTCAAACAAACAAACAAACAAACAAACAAACAAAAGTGTTCTGGCCAATTTGGCCCACTGGCCTCCTAACCATGCCCGTGTAAAATAAACTAAAACAATATGTAATGTAAATATTACAAATATTAGATAGATTGTTCTTAATTTAATAAATTAAGTTTAATTTGTTTTTGTTTTTTTATTAATTTTGATTTTATAACAAATTTTGATCATTAAAATAATTAATGATAATTAAAACTAAATTTAGTTTTTATAAGTAGGAAATGTATAAAATCAAAAACAAAAATACAGATTCAAAAACGTAATTATACACACACACACACACACACACATATATATATATATATATATCAAAACTAACAAAATTACGATAGAAGCATACAACAGAAGAGTTATTAAAACCTAAACCAATTAAGTGTGAATAAATAAGTGTCAACAAACTAAATAAATAAATAAATACAATCATAATAAAGCACCTAATAAACAGCATTACAATTTACAGATAATACATGATGCTAAAACAACAATATTGCACACAATTTAGATCAAGTTCAGCTTGAAGCAAAGATCTTACTCTTGGTTTTTCTGATTGCCTGTTCAGGTACTTTTTTGCCATCAGTTTCTGCTTTTTTCAGCGTCCTCTTTTTATATTCCTCATCTGTCGGACAGACGACCACTGCTTTACGCTGAAACCCGGCAAACAGGCACATTTTCCTTTTCCGGGCTGAAGCTGAAACATTGGTCTAAACGAAAATACAACAATGAACTTAACGTCACACGTACAGGGTGCAGAGATTACTGTATAGTTTAATATGACACTTAGTTTATTCACCTGATCGAGAATGTAGTTGCGTTTTTTCCGTGCTGCGATCTCAATGAATTTACCCAGAAACAGAGGAGCACGCAGGGAAATCTCTAAGAGCTTTGTCACGTCTTTCATCTGTCGTTTCAGCGTGGAAATCTGAATCGAAACATCAAAAACACATCGGTAATGTAATTTTTGTAATAATACATTGCATGTGTATGTTTTCATATTCATACACACGTTTGAACCACTCAAAAAAATTACTGCTCAATTCACAACACAGACCTACACACACAAGCTTGTTCTTAAACTCCTTCTTCTGCTAGTGAATTTGGAGTCTTGTGAGTGCCTGTGTAAACTAGGTTAATAATTTGCATAATACACGCCCAAACCAACTACATATAAAGGCTTTTAAGCAAAGAGGCACTCATCCGGAAAAAGACAAATATGGCATCAAAAAAAAAAGACAAAGGAAAAGAACTACATATTCATTAGGCGTACCTGTCTAACTACTCGCTAACGCAAATTTCTAATTATCCAATAACATGGCAGCAACTCAATGCATTTAGGCATGTAGACATGGTCAGGACGATCTGCTGCAGTTCAAACCGAGCATCAGAATGGGGAAGAAAGGGGATTTAAGTGACTCTGAACAAGGCATGGTTGATGGTGACAGATGGGATGGTCTGAGTATTTCAGAAGCTGCTGATCTATTGGGATTTTCACACACAAACATCTCTAGGGTTTACAGAGAATGATCTGAAAAAGAGAAAATATCCAGCGAGCAGCAGTTCTGTGGGTGCAAATGCCATGTTGATGCCAGAGAAGAATGGCCAGACTGGTTTGAACCGATAGATAGGCAACTGTAACTGAAATAAGCACTTGTTATATCCGAGGTATGCAGAAGAGCATCTCTGAGCACACCATTAGTCCATTAGTACCAATTGAGCAACGTGTCAACGCCACAGCCTACACGAGTATTGTTGCTGACCATGTCCATCCCTTTATGACCAGTGTACCCATCTTCTGATGGCTACTTCCAGCAGGACAACGCACCACGTCATAAAACGCAAATCATCCCAGACTGGTTTCTTGAAAAAGACAACGAGTTCACTGTATTCAAATGGCCTCCACATTCACCAAATCTCAACCCAATAGAGCACCTTTGGGATGTGGTGGAACGGGAGATTTGCATCATGGATGTGCAGCCGACAAATCTGCAGCAGCTGCGTGATGCTATCTTGTCAATATGGACCACAATCTCATTGGAATTTTCCAGTACCTTGTTAAATCTAAGCCATGAAGGAATAAAGCAGTTCTGAAAGCAAAAGGGGATGCAATCCGATACTAGTAAGGTGTACCTAATAAAGTGGCCGGTGAAGGTATACTGTATTATCAATATTTAACATCTAGTTATTTTTTATCCACCCAGTAAATAATGTATCTAATTATATGTAGTTTTATACATGTTTATAAGGTTCAGGCGAACCTTTTAATGTACATCTACAATAAATTTAAGAAAAATGTTGATAAATCATGATGTAAAATTACCACACACACATTTCATGCAAAATGTGTGCGCACGCATGTTTAGTGAATGAGATGCATTGTCGTCTGTTAACACTCACCATCATCTTCTCTAGGATTGTGTCCGTCCCCAGAATGTTGTATTTTCCAGGATTGGCTTCTGTGTGCTTTGTGACCCACTCCGTTTTTCCAGATCCAGGCAGTCCGACCACCACAATGACCTGAGAGGATTTGCAGAGGATTTCAGTGTTTATGATTTTCACAGATTTCACTGATTTTATATATAAAACAACAACAACAAAACACTATTTCATACACATGTGGCTTATATAAAGGCTATTTCATCAGTCTAATAAAAAGAAACCATTCATTTTCCTTCGGCTAAGTTTCTTATTTATCAGTGGTCACTACAGCGGAATGAACCGCCAACAATTCCGGCATATGTTTTATGCAGCAGATGCCCTTCCAGCCGCAACCGGTTAAAGGGAAACACCCATACACTCTTGCATTCGCACACATTCTCATAAACTTCAGGCAGTTGAGTTCATCCAATTCACATATACCACACACCTTTGGACTTGTGATGGAAACCGAAGCACAGGCAAGAAACCCACGCCAACATGGGGAGAACATGCAAACTCCACACAGAAATGCCAACCGACTCAGCCAGGACTTTAACTAGCGATCTTCTTGAAGGGGGCCACAGTGCTAACCACTGAGCCACCAGAAAGAGAACATACAAAATACAAGTGTTTGTTTTATAGCACTTTATCAATTTATGCCTTCATATTGTAATTAAATTGTGTATTGCAAACAGGCTGTTAGATCAAAATGAGTTTTTTTTCATTTGAACTGAGCCATAAATCCACACTTCACCAGCATATACGTGAAGAAAAAATTATTAGCCCTCCTGTGAAACTTAAACTCTTTAAAATATATATATTATTTAATATAAATTATATATATCTAGGCAAAAGTCTTATGTCTTTTGCCTGCAATAAAAAAATATTGATAACTTAATTCCATAATATTAGCCCTCTTTTATGATTCACTATAAAAACAAGCCACTGTTATCCACTGACTTGCCTAGTTAACCCAATTAATCTAGTTAGGCCAGCTCTGCACAAGACTTTTGGCCAGCGGAGAAATTAAAATGGTCGTGCCGAACTGAGTCTGGTTCTCTCAAGGTTTTTTTTTCTTCACTCTCCTATAGGTGAAGTTTTTTCCCCTCTCCGCTGTCGCCACTGGCTTGCATGGTTCAGGATCTGAAAAGCTACTCATCGAGGAATTTACTCTGTGTTTGGACTCTCAATAATGACTTCAAACCACACTGAACTGAGCTAAACTGAACTGAACTTAAACACTAAAAACTGAACTACTCTGATCCAGTTACTATGACCATTTATGTGAAGCTGCTTTGACACAATCTACATTGTAAAAGCGCTATACAAATAAAGCTGAATTGAATTGAATTATATTTGCACTTTAAGCTGAATGCTACCCAGCAAGCACAGGATGTCAACATGACGTCAGACTGACATGGATGTACCCAACGTCATGGTGACATTGCATTTTGTTTGGAAATGAAAATCGGGTAAACGTCAGAACCCCATGTCAGGCCGACGTCAATGTCCAACCTGAAAATCAACCAAATATTAATGTCTAATGAAGTAACAGCTTGACGTTGTGTTGACATTATCACAATGACATTATGACGTTACAGGATTTATTACAGTTTATGAGTTTACTATGCTACGGTATTCTTGTACACACTATACACTTTACAATGTGGTTAAAAACATGTTTATTATAAATAAAAATTACTATATACAAAAGCGTGGATGCATAGTCTACATTATTATTCATATATTTTAAAAGGGAAAAAAGTGCTCCACAATAATGAACATCTAGTTTTGGTTGCAGGAGTTGCATTTTTTTTTTGTTCAGTCAATAAAATTTACCATCAAGAAACCAAACATTCACTGCTGCTGCATTTATAGATATAAATGTTCACGTTACGGTTGTTTATTCCACCAAAACGCCAGTAAAGGCTTAGATTATTGCAAAACAAGATAGAGATTTCATCACAGCGATTACATGGCAGGGTGTTATACAAATTCCAGGAGAATATAAATAAGTGTGTTGGTGCTTGTATCTGATTTTTATATAACGCATTGACCTATTTATACACATAGCCAGGCCTTTATTTAATAACTATAGGTACTGTCAGACAAATTATTGCATTCAAAAAAAGCTTGTACACATGGATGTACTGAATACATTTTTAATACATGCCACCTTTTCCCCCATTTTTCAGCCAGTTTCTTAAACTTTCCCTCTTTTATGAGTAAAAACTTTTGGAAGCCTATAAAAGCTGTTAGGCATTTCTTATTTTGGCCGATTTAAACAATTATAAACAACATAAAAACAGAATAATTTTGACATTCTGATAGCGATTCCTTTATAGAAAGAGTCACTTCCTGTCCCCCATCTGAGTCCTGCGTCATCAATGACATCATTTATAAACATAAACCTAAAACATGGCTGATTTAATACTATTAAAAATGTAGAAAATGTAACGTTCCGCTTGAATATGAAACTGACCTCACAGTCTTTCTTGTTCTCTGGGCCCTTCGGTCCTCTGATGCGATCATGAACGGGGATCTGCTGCAGGAGTGTAAATCCATCCGGTTGAGCGAAGAATGGGCTTTCTTGCTGGCCGAAGTTGAACTCAACAGCACAGTTGTGGCAGAGGACGTGCGGGAAGAGCGGCTTTCCCTTTAGCTCATCCTTACTCACTGTAAACGCCTTTCCCAGATCCTCTCCATTCTTGGAGAAGGAGATTTCCACTTCTGCTCCATCAAAGTTCTGGCAAATAAACACAGAAACCATGATATACTATGACCAGAATTAGCACATAGAATTATTTTGAACTGTTTAATTTTAATATACACATACAGTTATAGTCAAAATATTTCCCAAAAGAAGTTTAACAGAGTAAGGAATTTTCCACAGTATTTCCTATCATATTTTTTCTTCTGGGAAAAGACTTATTTGTTTTATTTCAGCTAGAATAAAAACAGTTTTTAATTTATTAAACACCATTTTAAGGTCAAAATTATCAGCCCCTTTAGTGTACAGAACAAACCATCGTTATACAATAACTTGCCTAATTACCCTAACCTGCCTAGTTAACCTAGTTAAGCCTTTAAATGTCACTTTAAGCTGTATAGAAGTGTCTTGAAAAATATCTAGTTCAAATATTATTTACTGTCATCACAGCAAAGACAAAAAAAAAAACAGTTATTAGAGATGAGTTTTTAAAACTAATATGTTAAGAAAAGTGTTGAAAAAATATTCTCTCCGTTAAACAGAACTTGGTGAGAAAAATAAAAGGGGGCTAAAAATTATGACTTCATCTTTAATTACTGAGCCACCGTGTCGCTGCCACAATCAAAATTACCTTAAGTAAAATTTAAAATAAAATAAAAACTGAAATAAAACAAAAATAGCGTTTTCATCAGAATGTAAAATTTAAGAATCCTTCTTGTGAGATTACGTGGTCTTCAGTAAACATTTCTTATTTCTACCAAGTTTAAAAAGAGTCGCTTTTCAAAAGTTTTCTGGAAAACTTCTTTCATGACTTTTTTATTATAGAAAAAAACAATTTAATAGATTACCATTTAACATTAAAACATATTAAAACGTTTGCACAATAACGGTTTTTACTGTCATAACTTTAAATAATTAAATGCAAACTCAAATACTAATTATAAAAGTAATCATTTCCTTAACATCTTACAGTCCATTATGGGCTAGATAAACCCAAAGATTCCCTCATTATTTACTCACTCTCAATTGTTTCTCAATAAAACTATTTACTCTCTCAAGTGGTTTCCAATCCCTTAAGAGTTTCTTTCTTCTGTTGAACACAAAACAAGATATTCAGAAAAATGTAGAAAAAACATCTATTAACATCAATACTAGGGAAAAATACTAATGGACTACTATAGAAGTCAGTGGCTGTTTTTTCTAGCATTCTTCAGTATATTTTCCTTTGTGTTCAACAGAAGAAAGTAAATGTTACAACCGGCTCAAAGATGTTACATTAATGGAGACGACACAGTGAAATAAAGTCAAAAATAATATCTATTCTAACACAATTGAAAATAACATTATCAAAACATCAGTATCAGGATGTTCAATCAGTTTGAAAAGCAAATGAATGGATGCGGTGGGTGTTGTCAGTGCTAGTGTATGGATGATTGTGTAAACTCTCTCACTGAGTTTAAATAAGGGAGCTGACAAGCATCAGGTGCGCTAAAGTCTCGCCATAACCTACAACAGACAAAACATACAAAAACACAATCCAAAGCAACGCAGTCATAACACTAAATCAAACCGGCTTGGAACAAGTGAAGCGTGAGTAAATGATGACAGAATTTAAAATTTTGGGTGAACCATCTCTTTAAATGGTAGTGTATACACATGGCGCCACTTAATGGTCAAGAGTAGCAACTGCACAGTGGTTAAACACTTATTCTGAGAGATTAAAAGCACATGTATACTTACAATAAAACAACCGACAACATCATTTTCGTCAAAAGTCTCCCCGTAGTCCTCTGTCACAGCATTGCTGGTTTTCTTGGCCGTCATTGAAAAGGCATACGAGTAAGCTTCCTCTCCTGTCAGCATAAAGAATGCACTTTGAATTTAGGTGTTCGCCTCTAAAAAATTCATTTTCGAACTAAATATAAAGACCCTCCTTACCCAGCAGATAAGAGCTGTTGGCCAATGACCAGCCCACCAGGACATCGTGATCTTCAATTCCTTTACTGGAGATGTGCTTAACAGGGATCTTCTCGATAACCTGCTCACAGTGGAAGTACTTGTATGTTTATTTCCATTTTAGCCATTACAGTGCTCAGCATATTTAAGTACACTCCATTTTGAAGATGAATATTTGTATCCATTTCTCAGTGAATATAGGCGATGTATTTTGGTGCATTTTAACAAAACAGATTTATTAAACCGATATATTTATTAGAATTATATTTTAGTCACCAAACATATTCAGAAATTGAAAGACAATGCAATTAAATAAAAAAATTACAACCTCTAACATTTCAACTAAATAGTTTTTTTTTTTTTTTGCTTTTCTTGATTTTTCCTCTTTTTAAAATTTGTTTTTATTATTTTTCTATAACAAGTAAATTTGTCTGTACTAGTTTGACCGTTATCGAAAGTTATTTTGTTAGATAAGCTCCAGATTTGCCTTTAACACTGACTAATCTAATGTGTATGCACAAATATAATATTGTATAGCTTCCTATAAAAAATATGAATTTAAAAGAGAGATTTGTGAGGGGTGTACTTATATATGCTGAGCACTGTACATAGCAGATAAATCTGATTGTTTCCCATTCATAACATTTTATAACAATCTCAAATATAAATGCAAAAAATAAAAACAAACATTTTTAGCTAAATCAACCGGATAATTTGATCAAGACGTGTAATTTTTTTTTCTGGATTAACAGAGAATCATTATTTATTATTATTATTTTTTATTTAAAGAGATCTCAATGGGGTATATGCCGAAGCATGCTAATAGGACTTTTAATTTGCCAGTAACCTGGGTTAAGCGCTTCCGGCGAATTGAATGCCAATGCAAAATCCGGTGCGTTTAAGGTCTGTTTTCTTTAAAAATGATATCCGATTTAAAGTGGGTCTCAGATTGTACAAGCAGCACCGCATTAAATTACATTTCCCCTGCCATATCTTTATAATATGAGCATTTATTTTACCCCAGTGTATTCAATGGAGCTTCTGCGTTAGCGTGCCGATTCTGACAGGCGCGTGCGAGTAAACAGCTTTTTGTCTCATTTAACGCTTGAGCAACTAAATAAATGCTAAAGTTCGTTTAACTGAATATATTTTAATGACATTACAACATCGATGCTGTATAAGGAACCGTATAAAAGGGAAAAAAAGTTCACAATAACAGGTCACCAGAAGTGTATCAACATGGGAACAGCACTAGCTCGGCATATACCATATTGATAGTTTTAACATGATGTTACACCATTAGGGGAATGGCTGCTAGTGGGCAAACATTAATATGTTCTGCTGACAACCAAGGCCCAATCCCTATTGTATTATTTTACACCTACCCCTTGGCCCTTGAAACAGAGTGTGAAGGTAAAGGATTTCAAAATCTTTCCCTAAAAAAATGGGACAGCACTACAGCACCTGCACACGACATCATATGATGTTGCAAGCTCTTCATATAAGATCAATGACAGCAACTGCTGTAATTATTCCACATGCATTGTTTTTTGTATTTATCTTTAGGCAATCACCAAAGGCAGCACTATACATATATCTCAAAACAAACTTTTATTTTGGATGCAATTAATCTTTGCACAGCATTAGAGAAAATTGTACATATTTTGCCTTTAAGAGCGAACTCTCACCTTCATCTCAAAGCAAGCCTTGCCCTTGTCCACTCCATAAGACCCTCGTCCTCCTGCCCACAGGTAGGCAAAGCTCTCCATCGTAAGAGACGAGGCGCTGTAGCGATCACGAGACACCTTGAAGTGCAGGTCACAGTTGTCTGAAGAGAAAAGACGAGACTGTATTTATTACAAGCTACAGACTGACTGCACATTCAGCAGAAACGATGTTGTGACCTGCAGGCTTTACCATATCACCAGTATTTTGCATCAAAAACATATTGCGAGTTGTTTTTAAGTAAGATCTTCATACTCACAGGTGTCCAAACACACGGTTGTGTCATCAAACTCTTCATCTTCTTCCTCCAGAGGGGGCTGAGGAGACTTTGCCCTGAGAGAAAGGAAAATAATTTAGCTGATTTACTATTTTGTAATCAAGTGAAATACACTTAGCCTTCAGATGCAAAAGTCTGTCAGATTTTTTGCATCTGAAGTCCATTTATTTGTGTGTGTGTGTGTGTGTGTGTGTGTGTGTGTGTGTGTGCGCGCGCGCATCACAGCCATTTTTTTTTATTATTGTAATTTTTTTTTTATAAAGGCATTTTAAAGATAATTTTCTCTGGATTTCTCAAAAATTGTCAAAGGGTTTTTACTTATCAGAAGTTAAAACATTGATATTGTGTTGGTATTTTTAAAAATTGTATTATATATTAAAATAAAATATTTAAAAATATATAAAATCTATAAACAATAAATAATAATAAAAAAAATATAATATATTTAAGTGAATAATAAGTTTTTAAAATATATATTAGGGCTGCACAATATTGGGAAAAATATTTAGTTTAGTTTTCCTGCAATACTGTATACATTGTAATATGAAAATCTTTTTCTAAAATGACTATATGAAAAATAAATAAATAAATAAAAAAATAGAGTACAAAATAGTCAAAGTATAAAAAGCAGAAATGAATGAATAGATTTTCCCTATACACAAATATTAATCTTATCCAAAAAACAATAATAAAAATTATATATATATATATATATATATATATATATATATATATATATATATATATATATATATATATATATATATATATATAAAGCAGACACTTAGTTAAACAAAATAACAGTGTCAACAATGACTAAACTACTGAGAAATATCCACAAGATAAATGTGAACATCACATAATTGGAGATCTGACTGGGACATGAGGGTTTTAAATGACTGAAAAACAGCTGCGGGTGCAGTTAATGGTTTTTGGTTGGACAGTTTAACAGTATTGAAGTTAAAAAATTTAATGATCAAAAGTAAATTAAGACTGCACAGTTTTTATTCTACTGTATTAAGTAATTAAACACAATTCATCTCCATTAAAGCGACAAACTTGTGCCTAAATGCTTCAAATTCTCCTGAAATCTTAGTCACATTCCTTTAAAACAAAGACAGAAAATAATAAAAGTCTTTTGCAACGACTTCACAAATCGCATGATACGAGACGTGTTTTCTGGTTACTTATAATCCCAATATGACATTGCGGATCCTGTGATGTGACTATTGCAGATTCGCACATCGCAATGTTGATGTTGAAACAATATATTGTGCAGCATTAATATACATATTTAAATATAACCATTTTGATTTCATCATTGTTTAACATTTACATTTTAAGAGTATAAAAATGTTTAGTGGTTGTGAATGCATTACCTGGAAAAAGAAAAAAGACAAATTAGCATATCACCAATACATAAACAAATACATATATTAATTAAACACAACATAAACAATAATAATAACACAAAAGAAGAATATACGATTTAAACATAATATCTGATAAAAACAATAACCCATACAATATAACTTCCACCAAAACACATTGATTTCATTCTTTAACAGCCCGAGCACTGAGGTGAAAGAGATGCCCTTAATATTATTATAAGCTCAAAATTATTTCAAATGGTCAGTAAAAATGTGTGTTTCTTTGCACTGATGTCAGATCTGGCTCTTTACTGCCAGAACTGCTCATAAATCTTTCAGGTGCAGCGGAACCTCAGGAGTACCAGCAGCCCGACTGCACAATTCTTACCGGCTGTATTTTCTTTCTTCAATAAATTCAAAGTAGGCCCTTCCATGTTCATCTCGGCGTCTCTTTACACCCTTCTTATTCTTCTGTTCATCTTTCTTGTCTTTGTCCGCATCCCCTTTGGAAAACAAACAATAAAGCGTAAGGAAGAGTACCTCCCTGCTGGACCAGGCATGATGTAACATGATGGTCCACAGAATTACTGGAGGATTTATACTCTTGTTTAGGGTATGCATGAATTGCAATGAGCAGTGCTTTAAAAGAAAATTTATGCTCAAGGAGCGACGTCAGACAGTGCGGGTATTGTACACTGCGGGATTGTATGAGTACAGACAGAAGGTTGATGCCAAGACAACTGCAAACTGTGCAATTTTGAGCTGAGTAACACACATTTACATATTCAAATTGCATGCATCTTGAAGAACTGCAAATGTTGTGACATAAAAATTAGCGATGCACCGATACTGAAACCAGTATCGGGTCAATGCTTTGTTAAAATACTTGTACTCGTATCGCAAATGAAATGACGATACCACTCAACAGTATGTCACTACGTTGATTTGTTGTCCTACATGACTTTAATGTCTTAAGACAATAATTAAAAGAGTGGCGAGACTTGACAAGGCCATATGATGCTTTAAAATGCTTTTCTAATGTTCATGACTATAGTATACAAATGAATGAGGTGTCACAGAGCACTGACTGAATCAGATGGCCAATCAGAGATATTGGCTATCCAGAGAAAGGGGCTTGGTTGAAACCAAAACTCAATCAGAGCTGCAGCAATGCAGAGAAAGTGGAAAATAATATACATTTTTTTGAAAATTAAAGCATTATTTTAAATTAAATAATAAATTAAAATAGCATCATAAGGCCTGTTTGATGGTCACAGATGTAGGCTAAAGCCACTAACCCCCCTTTAGCACAAAGGGGGTAGAAGCATCTGCCAAATGACAACAAAGAATACCATGAGGTGCTCCTCAATACTGTAGGGCATCTATGGACCTGAAAAAGTTTAACTTCCACTAAAAACATGTAGTCAATAAACATGAAATATATAGTGTTTGAGTTTTTAGCCCCTTTAAGCAACATATTTTCCAATAGTCTACAGAACAAACCATCATTATACAATAACTTGCCTAATAACCCTTACCTGCCTAGTTAATAATTAATCTAGTTAAGCCTTTGAATATCATTTTAAGCTGAATACTAGTATCTTGAAAATTCTTAAGTAAAATATTATTTACTGTCATCATGACAATAATAAAATAAATCAGTTATTACAAATGAGTTATTAAAACTATTATGGTTAGAAATGTTTTGAAAAAATCTGCTTCTTTTCCGTTAAAAAGAAATTGGGGAAAAAATAAACAGGGGAGCTAATAATTATGACTTCAACTGTGTACTGGTGCAAAGACATTATAAGGGATCAATTAAATAAAATGAATAAATCAAAATGTACATTTTTAATAAAAAAAAATAACAATGGATTTTTTTCATTATTTCTTGCATTTAATTTGCAGATATTTCTCATACTTTAATTAGGTTAATGAAATATGTATTACATTAAGGTTTGACATATGTAGCACAATGTAAAGAAGATGTTGCATTCACCATAAAAATATATATATTGAAAAACTATTGGATAATCAATAAAATTATAAAACACTAAATAAAGGAAATAGGAATAAGAAAATAATTAAATTACGTAAAAATATAAGTTTATATTTTATTAGAAATAAATATTTGAAATAAAAAGAAATACATTGTATTATATTATGCATGTTATTATAATTAATATAATTATGTATAACATTTAGCTATATTAGATTAGAATAAAATAAAATACTTACATACTTAGCAAAGTAAAGCCTATTGCTGTAAATCATATAACCTGAAACTGTAGCAGTAACTCAAGGAGAAACAAATGGGACAGCAGCAATGAGCCCATAACAAACCCCAGTATACGCGTTCTGCTGACAGTATGAATTATTTTAGCCCAATTATACACAAAGTAACTATGAATTACTCGATCTTCATCGTATAATCTCACCCTTGTCAAGAGCCACATCATCCTCATCGAATTTCTCCATCTCTTCATCTTCATCATCATCACCATCATCATCTTTAAGAAGAGCGTCTTCATCCGATTTATCCATCTCTACCCCGGCGTCCTCCTCTTCCTCCTCCATAATATCATCATGCTCGGCCTCCGCGTTTCCTCCATCCTCTTCTTCCTCCTCCATGCTCTCTCCCACCGGGTCCTCCTCCAGGTCTTTGCCGGCGGGGTCTCCTCCGTCCTCGTACCGACGCTCGGAGCCGTTAGTACCAGAGAGCGCCTCCTCGTCTAGTGCGGCCTGCAGGCGCGACATAAGATCCGCCTTCAGCCCTTTATCAGACAGACTCCTTTTCTTTAGCTCGTCCTTCAGCTCGTTCACTTTCAGCTTCTTCACGTTTATAGCGCTCATTGTGACCGTCGTCTTCAGACTTGTGTATTTGAGCAATTATGAACGGAAAATATGAACGGAAAGGGCAGGTTGTTGTGAGCGGACTGTCCGTTAACGCGCGGTGCGGTCACTGTAGGCAGCAGTCGAAGCGGAACAAGGCCAGCTCAGCTTTATATAATCTACCGTAAAGCACGTTATAGCCGAGCGCGTATGAGACTACCGTAAATATCGATATTGATTTAAGATAATAGACGTAGTTTTACAATTTTTAGAAATTGTATTGTCTGTGTGGCTTTTTTGTTTAAAACTTAAGGCATTTTTTGTTCTGTTTTTAAACATGGAATTTAATTAGATATTTTACAGTCCTTTAGATAGGGTGGCTCTTTTTTCTGAAAAAGTGGACCTTTTCTGCAGTTATTCACCTCATTTTCTATTCAATTATGAGGTTTAAATAATGCATTGTAGTGACATTTTAATTACTAATCTTCGCCGAATCTTTTTGACGTACTAAAAATATTTTCTAGAGTGCTTATACTGCTTTATTACAAAGAATTTGCATTTAAACTTTAATTTACTACAGTTATATAAATAATGCTATGAGTTTTATTCAAATAAAAAATTAATAAAGAAAAATAAAAACATACTTATTTTTAAATACAAATTTTTTATCATCCATCATTTTAAAAATATATGGTCAAACTTGTTTTAAACTAAAAAGTGTAGCAGAAAAAAAAAACTCACCATCTCATTTCACTTTCCTCAGAAAGCCAGAATTTGGCCACTTGATGAGCAGATGAACATGATGTATATAAATTAATTTCTGCCTCTCCTGATGCCTCTATTTTGATTTCCCATTTTATAGCCGTTTGTAATAATCAGTTTGACATATCTACTTTGTATTTGAAAGATTCTTGAAAGATTTACAGATTATAATTACCAATGGGGACTGGAAAAAGTCTATCAAGGTCATAATAAATACATAAGAGTGTGAAGATGCAAAAACCTCTAAATGCCTTTTGAAACATTTCCCTAAAAGGAGTATTTTTTATGTGTATTCATATCACTTAAATGGCAAAGATTAAGTCCTTTTCCTGGGCTTTAAAGTAAAATATCTCAACATAAACAAAGGATGCTGAGAAAAAAGTAAATTTTCTATGGAAATTTCAGATGTTTTTTGCATCTAAACTCTTGACATGTTCTATTAACTCAAGACACCTAATCCAATATAAAAGTGTGCATTGGCTTCATTATTCTATAGGGTTAAGCTTAATAAATTCTAGTCCTCTATCTCCTGTAAATGTAATAAATGTGAAGCTGAAGGCTTCATAGGACATATTTTTTGGTCATGGCCAAAACCTTTTGAGATTTGGAGCAAAATGTTCAGATTCTACTCTGGGGCTTGTTCTTATGACCTTGCCCCTGATCCAGCAATCACTGTTTAGGTTTATCTGACTCAATTTGTAGGTTCAGTCATCAAATTAAAAAAGCTGTCCAATATAGAATGGTGATATATAGCTAAAAAACATTATTCTTTGTTTATGAAAAAGGCATCAAAACCACTTTAAATCCTTAAATCCTGGCTTTCAGAATTTTCTGCCACTTTACATTTAGAGAGAATTAGACACAATTTTTCTGAAAACATTGCTGGCTTCGAAGCCACCTGGAAACCCTTTTTAACTATCTGACAAATGCCAAGAATAACAGTTTAAAGGTATTACCCTGTCATCGTCTGCAAGATCACCATATTGCCTGTGCCCACCCCACTGGCTATATGTGTAACATTGTTGACCCATGTATAATATTGGAGGAACTGATGTAATAATTGTTTTAAAACCTTTTTTTTGTTCTGTCTTTTTTTTTGTTGAGTTTATTTTCTGTCTTTATAATTGTTGTTGCCTTTTGTATTGCTTTGTGTTGCTTTGAAGTCAAAATAAAAATATAATATTCAAAATAAAAAAAAGAGTTGTATCATCAGCTAGTTGACTAATTATTGTGTTCCATAAAATGAATGCCTGCAATATTGTCATTTTTAACAAGAATTGCTAATAGTTCTGCAGCCAATATACATAATTTGAGGAAAGCTTCTACATCCTTGCCTTATTCCTCTGGTCACATGAAATATATTTTCTTGGCACTCAAAGCGCATTACACATAGAGGGAATCTCCTCATCCACTTTTTTTTTAAATGTAAGAAAGAACATTACAAAGATATAATATGAACAAAGAGACAAAGAGGGTTACATAAATAGAAATCCAGCTAATTAAACAAGTTTAAATGATTTACACCAAGAAAGCGTTTTACATCCAGTGCAATTGTTAGAGTCTTTTAAAGAGTTCACATAAATTTCAAAGTCCTTTCTGAAAATAAAAAAGTAAGGGTGTTTCTTTGAAAATTCACATTTATGGATATAAAATTTAGCAATAAAGCAATAAATCAATAATAAATTTACACTGAGAAGGATCTACACTCAGAGAGTAACCAAAGAATACAATTTTTGAGGAAATACAGAAGTTTGGAAATAAGAATTTGTTTATGAAATTGGAAAAGTCAACCCAAAACACTTCACAGTAAGTACACTCCCAAAATAAATGGTTTAGTGTTTCATCATATTGAGTACAAAATGAGCATTTAGGTGAAATATTGTTATTAAATTTAGCTAGTTTGATATTTATTGGGTAGCAATCTCCTCATCAGTGTAGCATCCACCTGTATGACGCGACAGCAGCCATTTTGCACCAGACCGCACACCACAGAGAGAGAAGACAGCGTGATAAAGTCAATTATGATATGGGGAGGGTTGGGAGGCCATGATGGACAGAGGCTGGGATATTGGGGTATATGCTGAAGCATGCTAATAGGACTTTTAATTTGCCAGTAACCTGGGTTAAGCGCTTCCGGCAAACTGTATGCCAAATTAAAAAAATCAGCACGTTTAGGGTCGGTTTTCTTTAAAAATCAGCGATATCCACTGGCTGAGTGAAGTCCGATATAAAGTGGGTCTCAGATTGTACAAGAAGCACTGCATTAAATTACTATTTTACCCCAGTGTATTCAATGGAGCTTCTGCGCTAGCCTGCCGATTCTGACGGCCGAGAGGGAGTAAAAGTTATTTTGTCTCGTTTTACGCTTGAACAACTAAACGAATGCCAAAGTTTATTTAACTGAATGTATTTTAATTACATTACAACATGGATGCTGTAAAAGGAACCGTATAAAGTGGAAAAAACTCACAGTAACCGGTCACCGGAAGTTTATAAGTATGGGAACAACATTAGCTCGGCATATAGCCAATTATATTCATCTGTCTCCATATTCTACTGCATCTCAGAATATTACACTGCACCAAAAATGTAAAAATATATATTTAATATATTTTTGTCCACAGCAGACGGCAACTTGCCATGACGCAGATTCCGGAGTCTGAGTGCTCCAATCAGGTGAGCCCTCTTCAGCGCTCGCCATGACAACGAGACAACAGTGACGTGCCTTGTAAAAATGTGTATATGGATTTCTATAAAGCTCGTGTGCTCTCAGTCAGCATTGTCAGTTCGCCCGATGTTGCTGTTTGTACTTGACCAAGGTGAGTTCAATACCGACGGTACGAGTGGAGCCACGCCAATCTCACAAAGTCTGCTTCGTGAAGCTTCACCCGGGCCCGTCTGTGCTGTAGTTCCTTGCGGTTTGCGTACATAAACGCAATATCGCGAAGAACATTACGTGTTTGTTGCTCGAAATGTGCCGCCGAGCAACATCCAGTGAATACTGGCACGGCCTGGCGCCCGGTCTTCTCGTGCACTCCCTGGGGCGAGGCGGCCTTTGAGCCCTAGGCAGGGAGCAAACAACCACCGAGGACCCTCAGGGAAACACGGGGGGCCGGTAGTGGGACCTCGCTGCGAGGGTTATGGTGGGTGGGAGTAGCGAGGCCCACTCATCTTCTATTTTAAACCATAGTTTCAAACTTTAGTTTACTATATAGTTTGAAATAGAAACCATGGTAACTGTTATGATTTAACTTTATGCAAAGAGCTTACAATGACCAAGAGCAACAGACCCGGATTCCGCCATTTTGAAGTGATAGCGATCGCTCGTCATTGCTGTCGCGATGGAAAGCAGCTGCTTTGTTTTTATTTAATTTATTCAAAAAGCGCGTTATTGTTTCCCAAATTGTAGATTGTCGCCTCATGGTAATTCTATGCTCTTCTGTGTCTGACTGTTGTGATGTTTTGCTTTGTTTTTCAGCTGAGATTTTGAGCAAAGAAGGACTATTGAAGACAACAGTTGAAGACAACCGCGGGTTATAATCACGAGCGCGCGCATTATAATGTTTTCGGGCTGTTTTCTGAAAGTGTGTCTTTGTTTAGATAAGTTTGCATGTCAAACTAAATAAACTATACTCTTTCTAAACACCTGTCTCGTTTTATTTGTCCTCTACAGCAATGCACTGTCATATAGGTCTGTTGAATGCATTTGTATGCAACATGGTTTGACAATACAGTAGTCTAACAAATAAATAGTTGTTATAAATGTACCTTCATTAGTCAACATTTGATGTTATGTTATGATTGTTATACTATATTTATTATTATTAATATGCTGTATGTTTAAAACCAGCAAATTATACTATATATTTAACATGTCATAAACTTACTGTTATTTTAACATTTGCCAAATAAAATGTCCTAAGACAAGAATGGGTGTTGTTTTGGTTTTGTGTCAACCTACTGTAGGTTTTAGGTTGACTACAGCAAGGCTACATACATCATAGGGAGTTTTTTTATAACGGAATAAATATTTCACGGAGATGATTTTACTGCGTGAGAAAACTGATGTGTGGCGTGAGAGCGTGAGAATACGGTCAATTGCGTGACTTTCACGCATTTTGGCAACTCTGAAATATTAGTGTTTGGACTATGTGATTATTTATTACTATAGCAGGTACTATTTAGCCTATATATTCTCCTGGATTGTATAAGTGCTTCTGATTTTTATTTAACACTGACATATTTATACACATAGGTAATTTAGACATGTACTCTTTATTGGTGCTTTCAAACGAATAATCGCGTTCATGCTTGTACAAAGGATGTATAAAAATGTTCCTTACATTCTTCCTTTTCTTCTGTTTTTTTAGTCAGTACTGAACTTTCCCCTTTTGT